TAAATGAAGAACTCAATCTGAAAAAATAAATTAACTTGGAAATAAGAATAACATTCAAAAACATAGAAATGCTCTAATAAAATAATCCTTATAATTGTGTTTATTAAAATTGGTGTATTAATATGTAACTTGTCAATAATTTTTGAAATTTTTTAATTTAATATCATAATAGTTTTGTTATCTTTTTAGCTTTTCTGGTACCACAAGATTTCTAATAATATCATAATACCTTACTTCAAATATAAACTTTGACTCATTTGGTCATTTGTTATATAATAATATTGATAATTAAATATATAATAATAATGAAAAAATCCTATATGTAATATGTAAAAAAATCCTATATGTAAAGCAAGAAAGAAAGTTAAGTTCGTTTTGTATCAGAAGTTGTATCTAAAAATGTACTATTTTTAGGTTTTTTGAAACTTAAATAATTTAAATTCCGAAATTGCATTATCCCCATAAAATTTTAAAATAGAATTAAATGATAATGTATTTGCAAAATGATGTCCCCTGTTAAGGTTATTACAGTTTATTCAGGCCAGTTTCACCAGTCTTCTTATCCTTTTCTATACTAAAATTCAAAAAATAAATAGGTTTATTTAGCGGAAATTAATTGTTTATATAATAAACTTCATAAATGCAAAAAACTTTTTCTCTAATTCATATATTGACTAAATGGACACACTTATTCTGTCACTTCAATGATAAAAGTCACCTCAAACTGAAGGGCAATTTTTTTCAAAGTATCCTTATTTGACATTCAGACAATTTTTTGGAGCTTTCTTCGTGTATGGAAGTTAGCTATCTCAAAGACCATAAAATGCTGGATCCGCTTCTGATCTATACAGATTTTGACCCTAACGTTCTATTACTGACCTGTTAAGTGTTGAAACAAAAATAGATTCTGTTTACATTAGATCAAATCTAACTTGTATCAACTATTTTCTTCTACTGATTTTGTTCTCTATAAATATTATATTCGACCTGCTATTGAAAACTGTTGTCATATCTTAAAATTAATTTTCTGTTAACTCCAAACATAATTAGTGTTTGCTTGCAACCAGAGGCTATTTTACGAAAGGGGGTGGGAGGTGTTACACCCCCAAAGAAGGTGATTTTCAAGTTATAGTCGGGTTTTTTTCGAATTTTGTCGTATATTTGACACAATTCAGTTAGGTAAATTTTGGTTTTGAGGACTTTTTTTTTTTTACGAAGTAAGTGGTTACTTTTAAGAACTTTTTTTTTTTTTAATTTTAACAAAAAAATTGAGTAATAAAAATCTTGTGTTTGACATCTATGCTTTGCTGATAATCGCGTAGCATATATGCCATTTGAATGTTAATCAGCTGTTACGTCGTTATTAAAGGCTTGAACTAAATAGAAGGTAGCACAAGTATATTCATTTTAACCCAGTGCTTTTTAAGTAAAAAAAATTATTATTTTTGTAATACTTTTCAATTTATTTTTGTAAATTAATAATTTAAAGTGTTAAGCTGATAAATATTTAAAAATATATAGTTGTTTTGGTTTATTTAAAAGGTTTTTCCTTTTCAAATACTCTGCCGCTATTGGTTGAAAAGTTTTTTTTTCCGACTACGCCTTCAAATCAACGCCTTTTAAGTTTTTCAAGTTTGACTTTCTCAAGCGCGAACTTAGAATTTTCAAGTTTTGTTCACGCATTTGCACAAGCTTTATTTTGAAGTCTAGCTTGACAAAGTCATACTTCAAAGTTTAAGTTGAACTTCACTCAAGTGCGCTTCTTGCATTCCACCCATAGTTGCAAAAGTTGAATCAATTTTGGTTCCATACTTTGGAAGATGACTTTTGTGCACCTAAGAAGTATTTTAAACCAAAAAAGTCAATTTTGTCAAACATGGATTTAAGATTCGTTTTGCTTTGCAGTTACGATATGGCCATAGCTACAAGCAAACTACATGTTTACAAGAAGGAGGCAGCATAAGCGAGAATTGGCATATGTGCGCACCGGCATAAGTGTGAAGCATTGCAAAAACTGGCATAAGTGCGAATTGGCATATATGCGAACTGGCATAAGTGCGAATCATTTGCAAAAACTGGCACAAGTGCGAACTGGCATAAGTGCGAATTGGCATAAGTGCGCCAAAAGATTTTGCAAACATTGGCATAAGTGCGTATTGGCATATATGCGAAATGGCATAAGTGCACTTTGCCAGTTTTTGTAACTGCTTCGCACTTATGCCAATTCGCACTTATGCCAATTCGCACTTATGCCAATATTTGTAAATTAATTTGGCGCACTTATACTAGTTTGCACTTGTGCCAGTTATAGTAACTGTTTCGCACTTATGCCAATGTTTGCAAAATCTTTTGACGCACTTATGCCAGTTCGCACTTGTACCAGTTTTTGTAACTGTTTCGCATTTATGCTAGTTCGCACTTACTGCATTTGCACTTATGCCAGTTTGCACTTATGCAATTCGCGCTTATTCAGTCGTCCCGTTTACAAGCAAACCATATGCAAAAATTTGTTTCAAACTATCGTCCAATCTCAACTTTGCCTATTTTTTCTAAAATTTTAGAAATAATTTTTTATAATGTAATTTTCAGTCATTTATCTTCAAATAATATACTTATATCAAAATCAATACAGATTTAAAAAAAGTAGTTCAACCGAACACGCTATACTCCAAACTACCCGCATTTTTGTCGAATCTTTAGGTGGTTTATAGACACATTAGGTGGTTTCATCGATTTATCAAAAGCTTTTGATACCATTGATCTTATTTAAAAAAAATAAAAAATTACGGAATCGGAGGAAATATATTAATGATACTTAAAAGTTATTTAAGCAACCGTAAACAGTTTGTTTACAATAATACAATTGTCTTTTCCAATTTATTAGGTATAACATGTAGGGCCCCTCAAGGTTCTATATTGAGAAAACTAAATAGATACTTTTTTATCAAACTTCCCAAAAAAAAGGCTACTCTTTTCTATCATGCCGTTACTTTCAATGACAAATTTAAATAAAAAGAGAACTTTCTACTAAATTTATAGGAATCAATACTGATGAAAACCTTAATTAGAAATATCACATTGATTTGTTGTGCAAAGTAATGTACAAAGTAATGAAAGAAATATAGGAGTAATGTACATTGTACAAAGCTAGAAATGCTTTAGTTAAACACAGTTTAACACATTTATATTTCTCTTTAATCCATTACCATACAAACTATACAAATATTGCTTTGGGAAATACCAATAAATCTAAACTGCTCCCTCTTTATCGTCAGCAGAAGCGTATTGCTCGTCTTAAAAATTTGCTCACGCCAAACCATTATTATTTCAAATGAAAACTCTTAATATTTATCAGCTGAATATTTTTAATATACTTTGTTTTATGTACAAATGTAAAACCAACGCATTTTATAATCTATATACCTTAAAAGATGAAAATAAATATAACTTAAAAGATAAAAATAAATATAACTTGTTAAATAAATATAACTATATAAGAAATGATAATCTAATTCGACAACCTTCATCTCGAACTAATTTTGGAAAGTCATGTATTTCATACCGAGGAACTTTTCTTTGGAACTAAATAGTTTTGAAATTTTGATTTTTCCCATGAATAGAATTATCTTTCATTCAAGAAAAACATTCATACATGAATGTTTACAAATTGTACCAAATGGTAAAAAGAAAAATATTATTTAAATTTTAATGGTATTTTTTTTATTATGTATCAATTTTAACATAAAAAAATTAGACCTAACTATCAATAACTGCCTTTGCTTTTTCAAGTTTTTTGAAAAGGCAAATTCAAGTTCCTTGATAAATTTTTCATAAGAATCAATAAAAAATATTTTTTTTAAAAAATGTCAAAAAAATAAAGGGATCTACCACCTTAAATTCTTCTGAAAATGAATAAAAAGCTTATTAGTAACAAGCTTTTTATTTATTTTCAGTAATTTTATGTAATAAGTTAATACATAAATTAATATATATATATTATATCTGATCCACATCTTGTATGTGTTTATGAAAACACTACTTTTTAAATATTTTTATATTTATATATAAAAGTATCAAGAATTTCTTTATACCAATTTATATATTCTTACGAAATTTACGTTCACGAACTTCCCCTATAATCAAAAATATTGTAAACAGTACTTTTTTTATTTTTAGTAAACAAGACAACTTTTTATATAAAACCTAGTGATATTTTATAATATAAAATACATTTAAAAACTATTTTACAATGCGCCTTTGTATTCGTTGTATCTCCAACACTAATATCCATGACGTTGTATCTTCAACGCTAATATTCTCTCACTTTTCTGTCAAATTCATTTTAATATTTACTTAGAGGGTTTTTTTAATCATTCTTTGCAAATCCTTGAATGTTCTGCCGTTGCAGAACTTTTCCATTTTCCTTCATGTGTATTTCACTGATGTTGGTGGATGCAAGAAGAGATTTTGCTTTGCCAAAACAACACTTATAATTTAAGATAATCATAAGATTTAATCGAACTCAATTCATATTAATAATATTTATGATTTTTTTAGCAATTTACAATGTAATAGTTGCAAAAGATCAACACGGGAAAAAAGAAAATTTTAAAAACACAGTTTAAAGACATAATTATTTTAAAATTTAAAATTTTATGAATTATATATATATATATATATATATATATATATATATATATATATATATATATATATATATATATATATATATATATATATGTATGTATATATATATATATATATATATATATATATATATATATATATATATATATATATATATATATATATTTGTTATGTATACTTTCAATGGTATATTTATTTGTATAAATGGAATTTACCTTTATTATTATTTATTTTAAAAACTCTAAATCAATAAACAAAAAAATTGATGGAGAAAAGAAATTTATATTCTCAAGTTTTTAAAGCAAAAGAATATTAGTTGATAAAATGTAAAAAATGTAAAAAAAAAACTAGAAAAAAAAAATCTACATTTATTTTAATCATTTTAATTCAACAACTCCATTACCCATAATTCTATTCACTAAAATCAAATAAAATTTAATTTAACACAATGTTTGTTCAAAGTTTGAATTTCTTTTACTATAACACCATAAAAATTCGTTCTTAATGCAATATCAAAAACAAAGATGATGCAAAGCGTTTCTTCTAAATGAAGCTTAATTGTGATTATTATGATGGCATAATCGAATTTGTGGTTTTTATCAAAAAATTATTCACTCGTAATTACTTTGCAGTCATATGTCTCATCAAAATGTTATTTAACTTTTCTACTTTTTTAACATCTTGTGCATGTTCTGTTCTGTATTTTAAAACCTAAAAAAAAAATCAAGATATAAGAATACAATTAAATGCTATTAAAACTCAACAAAAAAAAAAGTAAGCACAAGCTAGTTATCCAACAGCAAAATGACTTAACACATTTTAAAAAGTATGAACTAAAGTATCTTAAATGAAAGTTTTAAAAAATGTTTTAAAGCTTTGATTAGTTAGCTTAGAAATTATTTATTTTATAAAGTTTAATTTTTAAAATTTACAACAGGAATTGATATTAAAGTTTGAAGCTATAAAGATTTAAACTATGTGACCATTCATAAACTATGTGATTCATCCCCAGTACTTTCTGCCTCAAAATCATTCAATTGCCTCATTATCAAGTATCTAAAATGCCTATGAGCCACTAAATGTTTTTTCATTAATGTTTTTAAAATGATAAAACTTAAAAATATAAGTTTAAAAAAAAAAGTTTAATAATATTTTGAACAAACAATGTGCATAGAAAATTAATAATGATCAAAATTAACAGATTTAATAAGAGGTTTATAATGAGGGAGAAACTCTAATCAATACATACTTATAGTGCCATGTAAGAAGTCATTTAAGTAATTTTGAAGAACACTGAGCACTAATTTATTTAACGTAAATACAAGTATGACACAGGATTTACTCTCAACTTTTTAAGGTAAACAAAATCAGGCAACTTTAAACATTTGTAAAAATAATTTCCCTGAATGTAACAAACATTAATGCAATAAACTAAATTAAATTTATGGCTAAGACATTGCTCTACCTGGAAATTGTTCTTCTCTTGGAACACACTCACAAAGAGGAAAATGCTAAAATAAAAACTCATAAAAGCTAAACAAAAGTATGTAAAATATATAGAGAATATAAGGCGGAATGGAAAAAAATGATTGTCAGATAGATTTGTGCCATTATTAAATGGCAGGAAATGGAGGCTCACAACTCCATTTCCTATCATTTAATAATGGGACAAATCTATCTGACAATCATTTTTTCCTTTCCGCCTAATACTGTTTATATATTTTACATACTTTAGTAGCAATGAGCTTCACTGCTTTACTTCATAACACTGGGCTTCTGGTCTGTACAGTTTTTGCTTTAATTATTATCAATGAATCACTTGATTTTAGAAATTAAGATAATACTTGTATCTTGACTGAGGCACATTACATTCTTCATTTTTATGCCTCCTATGCTCTACTTCCAGTTCCAATTATATCCTTTTACTAAAACATTCTTTTTTGCAATCACATCTTTCTAAATATCCACTTTCAATAAGTCTCTTTTTTCACACACAAATTCTCCTTTGATTTCCAAATTGCAAAATCAAGATTGAGAAAATTAATTTGTGATTTTTCTGAATTTGAATTGAAAAAAAAAAAACTCTAAAAAGCATAATTTATTTAATCATTTATTTTACACCTAATATTAAAACTTAATTTATAATAATTATATATTTTTTTTCAAAGCAAATGAATAAATATGAGATTCCAAAGGCTAAACAAGACAACAACCATACAACACAACAACCAGACACTACAACAAACTTGAATTTTGAGTTCATATATTGTTAGATTAAGCTTGATTTTTCAGATACACCATATGAAGTGAGCTTATGAAGATGATCAGTATGCTAGAATTTATGGAAAGCCTTTGACGCTACAAGAGCAATAGCTCTTGTATTGCTACCAACATTTAATGCACAATAGATCTAATGCACAATAGAACCTTTTTTTTATAACAGTTAATAAGACATTAAAGGACGCCACAAAGAAAATCACAGAAAAAATATCAGTTTTAAAGCAGTGCAAAAATAGGGCGATTCTGAAGCAAAAGTAGGAAATAAAAGTTTTAAAGAGATCATAGCATGGTCTAGATAAATAAGAGAAAAAGGAAAAATTGAGCGCAAACACATGGCAAGAAACAATCAAGACGAATAAGCTCCACAATAACAAGTTGAAGGATTTCATTAAAAGAATGAACTTGCTCAATGCAGGTACTCAGATAGTCTAATGCTTTTTCCTGAACAAATACAAAAATATATTTTTATAATGTGAACATTTTTTGTTGTTGTTATTGTTATAATCTAATGATAATTATTAAAAAAAAATAATTTTGAATTAGACATAAAGTAATTGCAATTAGTTTTTGAACTCTGATGATTTTTGTAATTTGCACCTTTGTGCTTTTTTCAAAATTTTTTTTTTTGCAATTCCTGCTTCATTTTCTTATTCTGATATACAGTTAACTCCCGATTATTTAGACCTCCAAGGGACCAAGGAAAATGGTTCGACTTAATGAATGTTTGATTAATTTCTGTTAAGTGGAACTTTGGCTGATTTGAAGTATTAGTTTGAACAAGTAGGGGGGGGGGGGAGGCAAGACACTAGACCAAGACATCAGACAAGACTAAAATCAAGGAGTAAAGGTAAATAACAAAGTTGACACCTTAGTAGGAGATTGAGAAATACAAAAATTATGAGCCAAGTGCCAGCAGGGTCAGTGGTCCTTGAGTCAAGCCATTCAATGTGATGAGCATTAAATCCACCAATAAAAAAACAATATTGGATTAAGGATAAAGAGATAGAGCTTGGCTAATTGATCAAAAATTAAATCTAAAAGCTTGGTAAAGAACAACAACAACAACAACAACAACAAAAAGAGAAAGGTGATTGAATAAAGAGATGCTAAAAAGATGAATGTGCAAAGGATTCAAACCTGATTTCACTGATAATAGGTAGATAGATACATAAGTATATGCCCAAACCAAGCATTTGGAGTTTTTGGAAATCAAAGAACAATAGTCACTAACATTGAGATAGCAACATTTCAGTCTCACAAAGAGCAAGTAGGTCAGGTGAATTTTGCAAAAGGTAAGATTCAACTGATAAAAAATTTCTTTAAAGGCCACAGATGTTAGGAAAAGATTGTGTTGGTGGTGGGGATGGTTTTTTATGCTGTTAGGTACTTTAGTGATGTTTTTAGCTATTTGAAAACTTAAAATATAACTAAAGCAACTTAGGCAATGAGCTATGCTGTTGCCTTAGTCCCATCGGGTCACATAAAGTTTCAACAAAAGGCTTCTTATGTGGCATTGACAATGCACACTAAAAGCACTAACAAAAATATTACTTATGTTAGGAAAACATGAAGATGGGTATAAGTTATAAGATTTTTTTGATACACAAGGAAAAAAACTGGATTATTAAAAGTTTTTATAGCATGAAAAGACAGATACAGTAATAGGATAAAACTTGTTGAATAAGAAGCCAAGAAAGAATGAGTTTTGGTTTATCGCAATAGATGATAGCTCATTTGAGCATTGACCATGATTAGAGAAACAACATAAAAGAGGAAGGCTAAAGCCTGATGATGATGATAATGATGATTATGATTATGATGATCATGTTGATCATAATGATGTTTTTATATGCATATATATACAACATATAACATGAATTTTGAATTTATAAAATATACTTTAGAATGTATAAATGTTTATGCAGCTCCGGTTAAAAACCCAGTCCTGGCTATAATTTAACAAACCTGGCCCCAGATCTGGTCAAATAGCAACCCGGGTTGCTTACTAATTCATGCACAATATGACATTCTGATATTTTACTCTGATATTTTACAGCTCTAAAGGGAAACAATCTCTCTGAGAGCTAATACAGAGTTCAAGAGACCTTAGTACCAGTCAACATTAGATCATTAGGCTGAGTTTCATGGCTGTATCCTCATTAGGAGATAGCAAGAAGAGCTGCATAGCTGCTAAAAGAGAGAAGTTAAAACCTACAAGTAGAATCAAGAAGATCCAGCACCACAGTGAACCACAGAGACCGCCTGGTTTTATGTCCTGGCACTCAAACCAAATCCTTACTATGCAATAGTATTATCCATATTGTTTCAAAAAAAAATTTCTAGAATCAAAATGCATTGCTATCATACAATTTTAGATATAACTTTATTCTCAAATTACAATAAATTTTTTTAATCTTTTACCAAATCTCGAACTTAAAAAATTTAATAAAAGTTCATTTTTATAACTGGAAACCGCTAAAAATAAAATTTCATAAAAGAGGTTTTATAACTGATTTCATAACATTTATTTTTTAATATAATGCATCCAAGTTATACATCTTTATAATATATCTCTAATATAATGCATCCAAGTTATACATCTTGAATAATTATATAATAAAAACTTTAATAAAAATAAATTTAATGTTATAATTTTTATTTTAACTAATACTAATGTAGTTTTTAGATAAAATTTTACCTAATTTACCCCTTATTTTAACTAAACTAATATATTTCCTAGATAAGAAAATAGTTCAGTTCGGTAGTTTATTTGAATAAATATGAATTCTACTTGTTGTTGTTCCTGGGAAAAGTATGGCAAAAGATCTAAATCATTAAAAAATATGAATACAAACTTAGAGGAACAAATTCAGCTGTTTATCTTTCCAGGATATTTGATGAACAACGAATGCTATCTATCAGTTGTTTTTTCTGGGTGCAGAAGAAATCTTTATAGACTTAAAAAGGGAGATTCGCCTGGTGGTGAATGGTGAGCTAAAGTAGCCAAGGTATATTTAATGATTTTTAAGTTCTAACTTTTATTATTCTTACTTTTTTTTTTTTTTTTAATAAAAAAATTCCTATATCTAGGTTAAGTGGAAAACTCTTTTGAAAAGTTTTTCCAGTGTCAATGTCACTCTTCAAGATGAGACAATCAATTTACCAAAATCTGAATCAAGCTTATGTTCTTTTTTCTATACATATCTTGCACCTGGTTATCCTCATAACTGTAAACTCACCAGTGCACTGACTAATATTATTTGATTAGCATTCCTACTCGGTTCTCTTCAAGCTGAGCAGGTCTTTCTGAATTAGAAGATTATTTTTCTAATTAGTATTATGTACAGAAGTATGCATTTGTTGACAGTATAGGCCATGTAAATTTAAAAGATCTTGTATATGTTCAAAATACATCAGATTTTGTGATAGACTTGTAGAATTACATGGTTTAGACCTAACTTCAGCCTTTATAAGAATTTCATTGGATGGCAGTGGTTCATTTTTTTAAGTGATTATCAATATCTTTGATTGTCATAAAAATAGTGATGATTCAGATGAGTTTTTTGAATATTGGTGAACAACGATCACAATTTCTGGCTGTTGTTGAAGATATTCCTAAATCTAATTATAATTTGAGGCAAATTATATAAAAGTTAAATTTACAATGTGTCAGTTTTGATCAGGGGTGTGGAGTCGTAAAAAAAAAGTAACAACTCCGACTCCAGTTGTTGAAATTTTTTGAGTGCAACTCTGACTTCGACTCCAAAGCAAAATTTTTGAAAAATTCTTTAAATTCTTTAAAAAATATTGCGCGATAAGTTTTTTTTTATAAGAAATTTTTTTTTTGATAAATTTATGCAACATTCCTTGAGTTTAGTGAACATAAGGTTAATTGAATGTTTTGTACATACACGTGCAACACCAAGAAATATTACTATCGGAGTCGGAGTCGCGTTATTTTTTAGCGACTCCGACTCTGCTAAAATTGTTGCAACTCCGCAACTCCGACTCCACAGCCCTGGTTTTTATGTTGTTTTTGACCTAAAATGTGGAAATCCATTATTTGGCTTATCTGGGCATTCTGGGAAAAGAGCTTGTTTATGGTGTGAGGGATATCCACATTAGATTTAGGGACTAAACAAACTCTTGGCAGTATTGATTACTGGTACAATAAGTATTTAGGAAAAAAAAAACCCAGCTAAATTATCCATCAACATATATATGAAAAAAAGTCTTTTTTCAAAAAGTCTTCATCAACTCCATTAATCCTCAAATTTTATATATTGATCTAGATCCAGATACTTTAATTGAGCAACTAGTTCTTCCACCTGAACTTTATTTATTAATTGGTTTTGTTTCACTGCTTAGAAATTTTTTGTAGTATGTCTGGCCAGGATTTGATGATTAGCTGAAATAAAAAAATATCATTCAGAAAGACTAACAAGGTAGAGACTGGGATAAAAACAATTCAAACAAAACATTAGAAAATTTAGATTTCCTTGAAATAAAAATGTTAGTGTTATTTACATGTTTGATTCCAATGTTCAGTATTTAAATGATTTTTATGATGTAAAAAATAGTTGTTTTTCCAGCAAATTACAAGATGGCTTCAAAGAAGCAATAACAAATTTAAAGAGTTCATTTCTTTCTGCACAAGAGGTTGCATTAAATTTAAATACAACATGGAATGTTCACATTCTACTGTGTCGTGTAAAGCCATATATATAGCCAAGAAAAAGGAAACTTTGCTGAACAATGTGGAGAAAGTATTCATGCAAAGTTTAAACCAACATGAACCAGATTCAAGAGACAAAAAGAGCATTCAGATCTTGGCGACAGGCCACTATCAACATAAGTGGATTTCAAATAGAATTTAATTTTAATTATATTAATGCGTATATTTGTACTAATATATATATATATATATATATATATATATATATATATATATATATATATATATATATATATATATATATATATATATATTAGTACATCATTTTTCCTGATTGTGAAAAATGATGTACTAATATATATATATATACATATATATTTTATACTGTACACACACATACATACATATATATATATATATATATATATATATATATATATATATATATATATATATATATACATACACATATATATATACACACATATATATATACATACATACATATATTTATATATATATTTATATATATATATATATATTTATATATATATATATATATATATATATATATATATATATATATATATATATATATACCCATATAGTGTAGTCGAAAGAGCGTTTTAATGTAAAAAAAGTCTCTTACGACTACAATTTTAATTACCTCGTCTCTTAAGCTGTTTTTGATTGTCATCGAAATGTCAAAGCAATTAATTTATGCGGAAGTACATTAAACTTAATTGTTTTTTAAAAAATTTTTAAAAAACCGCAATTATAACGACTAGAAAGTTTTTTTAAATTAGTGGTGTTTTTGTTATTGATTTAATAAAAAACATTTTTAAAACATGCGTAAATGTTGCTACATCGACTATCTTATAGCCTGACTCGCAACGGAGTGCTGCTACATCGACTGACAAATAGCCTGACTCGCAAGGGAGTGCTGCTACAACGACTGACAAATAGCCTGACTCGCAAGAGAGTGCTGCTACATCGACTGAGGGTTTGGTTTGGCCAGGCAGTCTATCAATTAAAAAAAAAAATTTAATTTTTAAAACTTTTTCTGGTCTGGTTTATTAACGCGCTCTTTAAAACTACAGTTTATGGGAAACTTTTTTTGATGCCATGCAAGAGACATGCAAGAGTATATATATATATATATATATATATATATATATATATATATATATATATATATATATATATATATATATATATATATATATATATATATATATCAACCCTAGGAATTAGGGTCAGCATTTGGCAATTTTTTTTGCTGACCCGATGCCGACCTCTAAAAGATTGAGGTCGGCAAATTACTACCAACCTTGTGTTTCCTAATTCCGAGGGTTGATGTATATATATACAACCCTCGGAATTAGGAAAAATGAGGTTGGCAATAATTTACCAGCCTCAATCTTTTTGAGGTCGGCAAAAATTATTTGATACAACAATTTGACCATAAAACATAGAAACAAGGTCGGCAATTTTTTACTAACCTCAAGCACTTTTAGGTTGGCAGTTAGATTGGGATTGCCCAATGCCGACCCTAATTCTGAGGGTTATATATATATATATATATATATATATATATATATATATATATATATATATATATATATATATATATATATATATAAAATATATATATAATACAGGTTTACATTATACACCAGCCTGATAGATGGAGACTGGCCAACATAATTTTGGCTGTGTTTATAAAAAATGGTGGTTCACAGAGATCTATAAAAAGATGCTATTCAAAATTTAAAAAACATTTGTATGTAACAAACTAAAAATTGATTACAAATAAACAAAACTGTTATAGGCAAAATCTGTACACCGATAATTCAAACAATCAATGCCAAGTATTTAATTACATTTTGAAAGTGCCAAGTCCAGGTTTAACATCTTATTTAAACATGTGCAAACAATACAAAATCAATAGCTTTAATAAAAATGATAATAAGTTTTTACCACAACATCATCTGTCATCTTGACAACTAATTTTCCTTCACAATTTCGATATTTCATAGTAAAACGAGTCTAAAAATATTTTACTAAGTCAAAACATATCTAAAAAATGAAACATGAAACATGTAAATAAATGCATACAAGTAAAATATTGTGAACCCAATAACATTATTAGTTGTAAAACTTTCATTGCTAATATTATTATTCTTCAAAATGTTAATAATACATCTTTAATAAATGTGTTAAAACTTTGATGCCAAACTAATTTCATACTTATGAATAAAAAATTAAAAGAAATAAAGTCCTGCTTATAACTCAAAAAAAAAACAAAAAAAAAAACTCTTGGATATGTTCAGCATACCAATAGATCTAGAGTTTCATTTCAAAAGTTTCACATAAAGTTTCAAACAAGTTTAAAACAATCTGAGCACGTTGATAACATTGAAAAAATAATTCTTTGATACTTTATGTTTTAGATGTTTGTAATGTTTTAGTTCTGTAACTTTCTGCCAATAGTTTAGTTGCTCACCTAAAGTTTTCAAAAAATAACTTAAGTATTTTTATTAGATTGCTTGAAATCTGATATAAAATTGCATGATTTTCTTATATACACTTTTAATTCTTTCAGATTAGATTTTTTGTATTAAATTTATTTAGATATATACAATACACATACGTTGATGAACACAATGTTGTTAATGGACAACAAAAAATCAATATCTAGCCAATTAATAAAATTATAAAATACTCATTATCAAATTTAGTATAATAACTTGTTTGTATATAACTTATAATAATGTGCAGGGCTCTTTAAAAGTTAGGAAATATGAAATCCATACCTTAAGAACAAGCATTTAGCTTGTTCTTAAATTTTTTAAATATTTTTTTATCTAACTGAGATAAAAAAATATTTAAAAAATTTATTATTATGAGACACCCATGTTATTAGATATACTAATATTCATATAAAAATATCTGCTCATTATTTATATTTTACTATATTTAAAAAAGAAACTTGATTTGCCATAATAAATTTCTTACATATATAAACGTCTAGTCATTATATGCATTAAAGCCTCTCTCTCTATACACACATACACACAGTCATTATACTAACTGAAACCCTTACCGAAGGCCATTTCATTATGATGAGATGTTTCATAGACAGCTAAAACTTATAAATATAATGATGTTAAATAAGATGTAAAAATGTATTTGCAAAATTTTAAATTGAATAATTTTTATTAAAACAAAATGTTTCTACTTATGCGTCAAAATTGACGAAAGTTAATATTTCAAAAACTATGGTTAGAGTAAGAAACATTAGTATCATTCAGACCTAAAATGCTATAATAAATATATACAAACTGTTTTATATATATATATATATATATATATATATATATATATATATATATATATATATATATATATATATATATATATATATATAATATATATATATATATATATATATATATATACCTTTAATTTGATAAAGTTTATAATATAAAAACTAATGTTCAATTATTAATTAGTTAAAATAATGATATAGTGATGATATTATTTTACGAATAATAAGGTTTAATAAATAAAAGATTTGTAGGTTTAATAAATAAACCTACAAGTTTTTATACTTTTACTTATTCCAACATTAATTTCAGAAATATTCAGTTTTTTCAATGTAGAATTATAAATTAAATTAATATTATTTATATTCTAAACAATTTAATAAACAACTACAAGATTCACTTTTTCGATAAAATTTCAAAAATAATTTCAATCAGAAATTTTAAAAAAACTACTTTTTTAGGATTAGATAAGTATAATTGTTCAGCAGCTTTTGTAAACTCTTCCCACGTTTCAATGTAAACCATTTTGAGTCAAATCGTATCAAATATTATTTAGATGGTCTAAAAAAATAATGGAATAAATTTTATTGTTATATTAGGGTAAATAGTTGTATCTTTTAAACGATGCTACGTTGTGTTGAAATAGCCGAGACACGAGAGCAAAATTTGATTTGTCTAGTCACATCAAATTTTGGCGATAAAACTTGCGTTTTAAATGTTATTGAAAAACTTAACATTTAGATTGTTGCGAAAGGTCGTAAAAGTTGGGGGAGGGGGGGCTGAAAACATATATTAAAAAGGAAAAAGTTCTTTAATTTAGTATGATACAGCAAAATAGAATGTTCTATTTATTCAATTATTTATCACACGCAACGTAATCATTTTTTTAAAGTGATTTTTTGTACAGGACACATTCATTTAAAAAATAGTTAGTGTGCGATAGTATCTTAAACAGTTTTATGGATATACTTTTCCATGGTGATGTTCAATTGTGATTGAGTCATTGCAGACTGGAAAATGATGATCCCACTGTTGCTATCATAAATGTTTTTTAAAAACTGTTTAGGAAATGGGGGAGGGGGGCTAAATACAGTGTCCGCCTCCCCCCCCCCCCCCCGTATTTTAGTCTCCGCCCCCTGTTCATACACAAGTTTATATGTATATATATAATATATATATATATATATATATATATATATATATATATATATATATATATATATATATATATATATATATATATATATATATATATATAATATATATATATATATATATATATATATATATATATATATATATATATATATATATATATATATATATATATATATATATATATATATATATATATATATATATATATATATATATATATATATATATATGAAATTTATAAAAAAATTATGTATAAATTATATAAATATATAAAAAGCTTTTATAAATTCCGATTGTAAATTATTTTCTCACTGGCAAATACATACACTAAAAAAAAAGTTTGTAGAGGGGCGGATGCATCATTTTGTTGTTATTTGAGATTCCAGATATGGAGCAAATTCCAAACACTTATATGTTTATACTAATGTGAAATAAAGATACTTGGCAAAAATGGCGATGATTGGAGTCTGGGAACAAAAAAATTCGAAAGTTTTGGTCACAAGTGCCCCTAATGTGAGAGTTAATAAAACTTTTTATTTACTTTTCTTAACTTAATTATATTCATTGATAAATTTTAAATTTCATAGACTAATCTTTTAGCGTTTAAAAAGTATGACTAAATAATGTTTCCGTGTATTCTCCAAATTCCGTGATATTCTCCAAATTAAGTGAATTACAAATTTTATAAAGTCTTATTTTTTGAGCGCTAAGAGATAATTGTATGAAATTTTAAATTTGTTTGTGAATATAAATTAGATTAGGAAAATTCAAAAAAAAAAACTTATCAACTTGTTGCTCTCACGTTGGGCACAGTTGTAGCGGGCTGTCCATGAACGACGTCACCCAATTTATTGCAATTTTCGACCCCCTCCCTCCCCCTCGTCACAAGACGTCACGAAAGTTTAGATTTCCCCTAGAATATAACGTCACAAGATGCTGACTTCCTCCCCCCTATTGATTTAATATTTTTTCTATAGTTAACTAAATATAAAATATTTTTCAAAATTATTGTCACGTATGTATGTTTAATGGGAAAATTATAATCGACTGCAATAATAAAGAAAATTATTATTACCTTTATTATTGATTTAATAGCAATTATTCACAAGTGATTTAATAGAATTGCATTTTATAATCATAAAGATATAATATTTTAAAAATATTCAAGTGTAGTTTATTATAGTTAACTGTAATTGAAACTTTTTTATATTACTACTATAAAGTAAATATTATCTCGCAGCTACTTCCACATTTTAAATGAAATAAATGAATAAGATGAAACTTAAAATGATTTTAACAATTAAATACAAATTTAAATATTTATAACAAACTTAAATATTTATAGTAATTGAATCTTATTGGAACCAATTATAATAAATAATATATGAAACAATGCTGAAATTAAAAAATTAGCAAAAATGATTTTCCATGGTGAATAAAAATGTTCCTTTATAGAATTAAGTTGGAAGGCGTTGACACTAGTATCATGGGAAATAGCATTGATGAAAAAGTCATATGGAATCAATCAATACGGATTTAAAGAGCGGGTAAGGATGTTGTTAACTTTTACACTTTGTGCTGCAAGCAGAGATGGAAATTGATGGCATGTTGATCCATTGTTTGTTCTGGAATTTTAAGACCTTCACATGTTCGAAAACTGAAAAAATCTGTTTATTATCACACTAAAATAGGAATTTCTTGGTTTCAAACTAGGGTTGTTCGCCGAAAAACAAAACTTGCGAAAATTTCGCATTTTTATCTACCGTAATAGAATTGTTATTGCGGAAGTTGCACATGCAAAAATGCACATTCCGTAACGCGCTATACGAAAATATAAATAGTAAATAAAATTCCGTAATAAAGCATTGCGAAAGAAAACTTGCGAAACAAATCATTTCGTAAGAATACTTACGAAATAGTTCCTTACGGAAAAAGCATTCCGGAATGTGTAGTTACGAAAAAGACGCAAAAGATTTTATGTTACGATATATTTAAGATATTAACTGTTAACAGTTTAAATAATAAATAATAAAATTATAAAAAAATGTTGTCAAATGATTCTTCAAATGTTTATACAAATATACCTAATATATGTATATATATATATATATATATATATATATATATATATATATATATATATATATATATATATATTATATATATATATATACATTAACGGGATTTTACTTAACGGGATTTTACTGTATATATATGTATATATATATATATATATATATATATATATATATATATATATATATATATATATATATATATATATATATATATATATATATATATATATATATATATATATATATATATATATATATATATATATATATATACACACACATATATATACAGTAAAATCCCGTTAAGTTGGACTCTCAATGAACAGATAAACAGTATGCCTTTCTTTTTAAAAAGTATAAAGAGGATGTGTGATAAACAATTAAATACTTTATTATAAAGAACGAGAGATCTCTCTAAAGGTAAATGATATCAGAAAGAGTAAAAAGAGAAGAAATATATGTGAAACAGCGGGATGTGAACCTGGGTCTACGCGGCCAAATGTCTTAACTGAATGAGCTATACGTTCATTCAACTAAGTGAATAGTAATATTTATTTAATATATAATTAAGAAACTATATACAGAAGAGATACGTATGCAAATAGGATTCTATATATCAGGAAAATGAATAGTAATGTGAACCTTTAGATGCTTATAATTAATATCTGGACTCAAAAACTAGTTACTTTTAATGGAACACAATAGGCTGTAGGAGCCTCAGGGAACTTATATTCAGAAATGGTTATATTAGACTCAGAGTTAGCTAGAAATTATTACAAAGTATTTAGAACAGATGTCTAGTACAAAAAGCAAAAGATTTAAAGCAAAATGATTTATATTATTTGAAAAAGTTGTTTTACGTACATTTTATCATAATTTAAGTAGAACTTTGTAAAGCAAGGGAAACGTGTTGAATTAAGCACAATGAACTTAATCTTAAAAGAATAACTAACAGAAGAGAGGTTGTCACTATTGTGAAGGTGACGAAATATCTGTAATATTGAACATGGAGGTCAAAAAATGCTATTTTAAGTAAAAAGAGTTTGATGAACAAAAGTTACAATGACTGCGGGATGCGAACCCGGATCTCTGCGGCAAATTGTCACGTATCTAACTGATTGAACTATACAATCTTATACTTAAACTTATATCTTATTAAAATTAAAAAACAATATTTTCTAAGATCTATACTTCGAAAAGCGTATTCAAACAGGACTCTACATACCTTTAAAATCTGCTAGAACTTTAGTAACGTGCACACTTTTAGAAATTATTGAAATAGGTATATTTTATCAGAAATATGCTTAAGCTAAAGCATATTTTTGAACCTCTTTTTACTATTTGCTTAAGCATATTCGAACCTGTTTCAAAAATTTCATATGCTTTAAAAAAAAAACATGTATATTCCTACCCATCATTCTTATTTTTAATATGCGTAATGAGTTCAAAAAACATCTTTGCATATATTTATTATGGCACGTTTCGTAAGTTTATTTCCGTTAAGAATTTTTTCGTATGTTGTGATCCGAAATACTTTCGTTTCGAAAGAAATTTTATTTTTTATCAATATTTCTAAAAATAAAACCATAAAAATTTAATAGTTATTATACTGAAAATAAAAATTCATTATAAACATTTTGGGATTTAAAGATGTTAATTTTTACAATTAAAATCAGTCTGGCAAACAAATTTTCTTTATAGACTTCAAAACGTCGTTTGGCGAAAATGTTTGTTTCGCAAGTGCGACTTCCGAAATCGCTACTTTTCGTATGTTGCAAAATAGTTTTGTTTCGTATGTCAACTTGCGAAATGCTATATTTCGGAAGTGGCTTTTGCGAAATGAACATCGGCGATTTTAAATGTTTTGTAACATTCGGTACGAAAAAATGTAATTCCGTGTTCTCAATCTCCTTACGAAAGAATGTTGTTTTTCCGGAATTGCACGAAATCCTCCGGTTAACAGCCCTATTTCAAACAGTACTTATTGTCATTTCGTTTTACAATCTGCGTAAAATATTTGTTTGTATGTGACTATCTTTTCATTTCTGATCCCTCGACAAGAGGAGTTGATCTTGTAACTCAGACTCTGTGGGCTCAATGTACTCTGCCACTGTTGGAAAGTTATCGGCAGTCATGTCTTTACCAAATTTTAGTAAGAGTGGTCCATGCATTGACATCAATTGTAACATCTTGTTCAGATGGATATCATAGTGGTCATGTGGTAATATCAATCCAGCAAGTTTTTTATTAAGTGGTACCATTTTCTTTCAACTCTATTAAATGCACTTCTTCCAGGAGCGTTTGTAGCAAAAAATAAAACATCAAAATCATTGTGGATAAAGTGGTGTATTGTAATCTTTGTTATTTTTTGGTATCTTGGGTTCTTATCAGGGCCACCATAAACTGT